TCAAGAGTGAAGGTGAGGGAGGCCGAAGCCGACGCGGTACCTGAGAGAGCAGACTCACCAGTACCTGAGGACGCAGACACACCAGCACCTAGAGCAGCAGCGTCGTAAGCACCTAGGGCAGCAGCCTCACCAGTACCTAGAGCAGCAGTCTCAATGCCCGGATCGGGCTGGAAACACCGGTAACAGTCACCCTTATCACTAATAGACACAGCATACATGGCAGAGAGAATAGCATCAAAGTCCAGATCAAAGATGGCAACCCCCGCCCTAAACAGCTCGTCCCAGCGAGGGATCTCGGAGGCCTCCGGGAACTGGTGACGCCATGCGTCCGTCAGGCGGCCAAAGCAGCGCGGAGTGGGGTGCGCACCCCCACACTGCTCACCCGCACGGTCGCCGGTGCGCAGGACGTAGGTACACGGACCAAAACCCCCACCCCGCTGGCGTGCAGTGTACCACTCACGGAGCTGCTGAGGGGACAGGGTCGCACGACCACGCTGCTGCTGCTGGCGCGAGCCACCACCGGAGCCACTCCTCTGCAAAGACCCGCGACCAGCTCCACCGCCACCCCCACCGCCTCCACCGCCTCCGCTGCCTCCACTGCCGCCGCCGCCTCCACCGCCTCCTCCACCGCCGCCGCCTCCGCCACCTCCGCTACCACCGCCACCGCCGCCGCGGCCTCCGCCTCCACTGCCGCCACCGAACCCCCCACCCCCACTTCCACCTCCACCGCTACCCCCACTCCCCCCACTGCCTCCACCTCCACCTCCACCGCCCGCTCCTCCAGCTCCCTTGCCCCCCTTGCCCTTGCCAGGGCGGCGTCTCCCGCTAGGGGCAGACGCCGCACCGACCGACTCAAGACCAAGGAGGTCGGCCGAAGCAGCAGAGGCAACAGAGGGCAGCAGGGGGGAGGGAGAACACCCCTCAAAGATGGGGGTGCGCGGGTCACCTCGAGAGGCTCCTACAGCGACTATGCTCTTTTCTATCGCGAGGAGGGCCTTCTCGAGGAGGTCTACAGTGAGTGTGGTGGGATAGACTGAGAGAAAGTGGTCCCTGACTACTCGAAGGGAGTCAGGGAGGCGAGTGACTAGGAAGTACAGAGTGATGTACATGGGGGGGGGGTTCGCGGTGCAGAAGTCAGCAGGAAGTGCAGCGCGGTAGCGAGTGTCACTAGTGCGGAGGTGCGTAATGAGGTCAGCAACGGTGGGAAAAGAAGCAAGGTCAGGGAAGAGGTACGGCAGCATGAGACGGCTCAGTGCAGCAGTGGAAGGGGAGGAGTAGCGCGCGACTACAGCGGCGTACAAGGTCTGAGCACTCTTGTACTGACTAAAGTGCGCACGCTCGGAGGTAGGGAGGTGGCGACGCACAGCAAGACGTGCAGCAGCATCGCGCGTGGCCCATTGGGAGCGAACAGTGGCGTCAGCATCAGCAGCAGGGGCAGGGGAAGCGCCAGAGGTGAGGTCAAAGAGAGAGAGGCCGTCCGCCCTATCGCACTGTAAGAACAGCTGTAGGTCATCTACCCAGACCTCAAAGTCAATGGCCCGACCCTCAGCGTCAAAAGTGAGGACACTAGGGGTAGCCATGACAGCAGTAGACCAGCAGTGCAAGGAGTAGGGGAAGAGCACGCAGTGACAGAGGGTCTGTGCTCACCGGACAGGGCTGCTCGGGCGGCTCGGCTGCAGGGCGGCTCGGCCGCTGGGCGGCTCGGCGGCTGGGCGGCTCGGCGGCTGGGCGGTCGGCTGCACGGCGGCTCGGCTGGTGGGCGGCCGGGCGGCTCGGCTGCAGCGCGGCTCGGCGGCGGGGCGGCTCGACTGCTCTGCTGCTGGGCGGCTCGGCTGCGCTGCTGTTGGGCGGCTCGGCTGGGCCGCTGACGTAGGGCGGCGGGGCCGCTGTAGAGGAGTGGTGGGGCCGCTGCAGAAGGACGGCGGGGCCGCTGGGTAGTGAGGCGGCGGGGCCGCGAAGATGGGCGGCGGGGCCGCTGCAGAGAAGCGGCGGGGCCGCAGTGAAGGGCGGCGGGGCCGCAACGAGAGAGGCGGCGGGGCCGCAGCGAGAGAAGCGGCGGGGCCGCGAAGTCGGGCGGCGGGGCCGCTGAGTAGGGCGGCGGGGCCGCAGTGAGAGGCGGCGGGGCCGCAGCGAGAGAGGCGGCGGGACCGCGAAGACGGGCAGCGGGGCCGCTGAGACGGGTGGCGGGGCCGCAGTGAGTGGCGGCGGGGCCGCAGCGAGAGATGGCGGCGGGGCCGCGAAGACGGGCGGCGGGGCCGCAACGAGAGAGGCGGCGGGGCCGCAGAAAAGGGGGGCGACGGGCCGTAGGCGGCGCGAAGCCGCAGGTAAGGGCGGCGACGGGCCGGGGCGGCTCGAAGCCGCAGGTAGAGGCGGCACGAAGCCGCGGGAAGGGCGGCGACGGGCCTGGGCGGCGCGAAGCCGCAGGTAGGGGCGGCGCGAAGCCGCCGGTGAGGGCGGCGCAAAGCCGCGGGTAAGGGCGGCGACGGGCCGGGAAAAGGGCGGCGCGCCGCAGCCGCTAGGGCGGCTCGACGCGACCGTAAGGGCGGCGCGACGGGCCGCTAGGTGCGACTCGACGGGTCGCTAAAAAAAAAAAAAAAGGCAGGCGCGACTCGAGGCGCGCTTCGGTGGGCCCAAGGAACAGTCCCTAGGAGGGGACCTGCTCTGATTCCATGTGATAATGAGAACGAGAATGAGTGAACTATGAAAATGAAGTGAGTACAAATATGAAACCCTAATTGGTTGTACCCCCTATGGGATACCCCACTATAGCCTACACAACAGCATAAGCTATAATGTTCTGACAAATACAAGGAATATAAATAGTCCTAGTCTAGCCATGTACTCTGAGGGGTACATTCCCTTATTATAACTGTTTTACAGGCATTTCTACAGTGACTCTGACTGTTGTACTTCCTTCTTGTTACCGAGTCGCTGCATGTAACCTGTACGATTACGGCTGTTGCTTTTCCTCGATGGCAAGTCAAGCGTCGGTCCAGATGGTCAACAGTCGCGACAGTTGACTCTTGCGATTGTTGACCTTCCTGCCCTTGATACGGGCTGATCCGATACTGTGGTTGTTGCTGCTTCGACAAAGTCAGGTGCGATACTGCTGCACATACGGGAATGCTAAGTATAATTCCCTTCACACTCCATCAAGAACAAGATACCGTATGGCCCCGGAAATAGGCGCCGTCCGACTAAAGGCGCCGGCGCTTCTATCTGGAGCATGGCGCTTATGGCCGAAACTCGATTATAAGCGCCCCCCCTAGAAAACCTTTACTTATTATAAGCGCACGTACATTTTGAAATTATAAATCTGTTTAAAACGGTAACGAGTTTCATTTTCGCAGCGAGCCAAATTTCATCTTCGCTTCGTTTGACTCGCGAAGACCTGACTGGCTGCGCGTCCAATCAGGATGTGCTGGCATGCCTGCAAAGTGAGGTGAACTTGCTGGTGTGCAGGAAGCAGAATCGCTTGCGCGCGATTCTGCTTTGTGACGCTATATTATTTCGACTCGTTTGAAATGGCATCAATGAAAGGTACAGTTTGGTACCCTAAAAGTATAAATTTGTATTTGTCATTATATAAGCGCATGCGCTTATGCCCGAAACTCAATTATAAGCACCCCCCTTGAAAAAATCAATTTTATTATAAGAGCATATGCGCTACTATCCGGGGTGATACGGTAAGTTGATAATAACAGAGAAGTACAAGGCTTTTATATGATTACATTGGAATATGGAAAGTCTTATTTTAACTGTTTTTGCTATTGCGGTTCGATACAGTGCCGACTCGGGTAACTGCTCTGTAGCGAGCCAGTTATGTGTCCTTGCTGTCACACTGTACGTTTCGTCAGGTCAAAGGTCGAAGACCTTTGACCTTCGCGCAACCTCCGACGGTTGCCTTGGTTGACTCGAGTGCTTCTTCGCTGTAGTCAGTTCCGTTTTGTGTCGAAGCTTCGATACGACAGAAGCGTTGTAAATCACTTGTTTCCAACACTCCCCTTCGCTTCTGGAGAATCATTGCTGATGACGTGTCCTTGTCCAGTCAGCAGCATGCAGTACTCGAACTTCTGTTTTCCGAGTTTCTTGGTCAAGTAGTCAGCTGCCATCTCGGATGTGGGACAGTAGGATAGTTCGAGTATTCCCTTTTTGATCTCGTCTTTCACGAAGAAGTGCCTGTGAGAAGGATTGACGAAAGAATGAATGAGAAAGGATGATTGCACTAGAAAGCATTGGGATACATATATCAAACCCTAACAGGGTTGTACTCACTACAGAGTACCCCACTGCAGACTAGAGAAACATAGTATTCTGACACACCCCCATAGTCAAAGTGGGGTATGATCAGCACAAGAAGCAAAGCAAAGCAAGCTCAGGGTGGATCACAATGTCACCACACATTCTGAGCACAAGTACAAGAAGTAACAGTTTAAAGTTCACAATAAATAAGCAAAGCTAGAGGCTATCACAGAGGGCAAGTGAGGAGGAGGAGGCTGGACTAATAGGAGAGGAGAGAGGAGGCAACGGCGGAAGCTGCAGACACACGGGCAACAGGAGCGGCGCGCACTGTGGCTACCGGAGGCGCACCTCCGGACTACAGGAGTAACTGGCTCCGCGGCTAAGACGAGCGGCAGGAGCAACGGACCCACGGGCGACTGGCGCAGCGGCATCACTGGGCTACCGGAAGCGCACCTCCGGACTACTGGCACTGCTAGAAACACGACGGCTACCTCCACCCAACCTCCCTCTACTGCCGCACCCCCCATTCACACACCCCCTGCTGCACCCCTAGGTTCACTCACACTCCACCCCCTAGCACCACTCCGTCGACTCACACACACCCACCCCCCTCAGCGGCAGCTGCAGCAGTGGGAGACGGAGTAGGAGGAGCAGGGGATGCCACACACCCGCCACCCCCATACCCTCCCCCACTGCTGCACCTGCAGCAGGGGATGGAGGAGAAGGGGGGGGGGGGGGGGGGGGGGGTGGTGCTGTGCATGGCGCGTGCAGAGGGCAGCAGGGCGCACGGGGCGCACAGGGCAGCAGGGCGCGCGGGGCGCACAGGGCTGCAGGGCGCACGGGGCGCACAGGGCAGCAGGGCAGCAGGGCGCACGGGGCGCACAGGGCAGCAGGGCGCGCGGGGCGCAGCAGGGCTGGCGGGTTGGCCACACCCGCCACCCCCATACCCTCCCCCACTGCTGCACCCGCAGCAGAGAGATGGGGGGGGGGGGGGGGGCGGGGGGGGCAGGCAGGTGCTGCAGGTCCCCTCCCCCCACTGCCGCATCCGCTCCAGGGGGATGGCAGATCCCCTCCCCCCCACTGCTGCACCCGCAGCAGGGGGAGGGAGAGGAGAAAAGGGCGGAGAGGAGGGGGGGGGGGGGCTGGTGCCGCAGATCCCCTCCCCCCCCACTGCTGCACCCGCAGCAGGGGGGAGGTAGGAGAAGGGGCGGGGGGGGGCAGGTGCTGCAGGTCCCCTCCCCCCCTTTGCTGCTCCCGCAGCAGGGGGAGGTAGGAGAAAGGTGGGGGACCTGGTGCTGCAGATCCCCTCCTGCCTCCCCCTGCTCCAGGGGCCAGGGGCCAGGGGCGGCTGCTGAGGTCCAGGAGCGGCTGCACCAGGGGCGGCTGCTCCAGGGGCGGCTGCACCAGGGGCGGCTGCTCCAGGGGCGGCTGCACCAGGGGCGGCTGCACCAGGGGCGGCTGCTCCAGGGGCTGCTGCACCAGGGGCGGCTGCTCCAGGGGCGGCTGCACCAGGGGCGGCTGCACCAGGGGCGGCTGCTCCAGGGGCGGCTGCACCAGGGGCGGCTGCTCCGACGCGTGGCCCCCCCCCCCAGGTCGCCCCTCCCGTCGCCTGTTGAGGCGACCTGAGGGGGGGGGGGGGGGAGGAGTACGGGGGCCGACGCGCGGCCTCCCAGGGCGCCAGAGCAGGCGGAAGAAGGGGCGACGCGCGCCCCCCCGCGGTCCCCCCCCCCCCGCTCGCCACGCAAGGCGACGGGAAAAGGGGGGGGGGGCGGTGTGGCTCGGCAGCGCGGCGCTCTTACCAGGGGAGAGGCTGGGGCAGGGCCGGGGTAGGGCCGGGGCAGTTCAGGAGCAGGGCCGGGGCAGGGCCGGGGCAGTTCAGGAGCAGGGCCGGGGCAGGGCCGGGGCAGGGCCGGGGCAGAGCCGGGGCAGGGCCGGGGCAGGGCCGGGGCAGAGCCGGGCCAGGGCCGGGGCAGTTCAGGGGCAGGGCCGGGGCAGGGCCGGGGCAGTTCAGGAGCAGGGCCGGGGCAGGGCCGGGGCAGAGCCGGGCCAGGGCCGGGGCAGTTCAGGGGCAGGGTCGGGGCAGGGCCGGGGCAGTTCAGGAGCAGGGCCGGGGCTGTCAGATATATATGCCTTAGCCTATGTAGGCTGTAGTGGGGTAGACACTAAGGGGTACAGCTTTCATATTTGTATCTCACACTTTCCTAGTTCATTCATTCCTGTTGTTCCTTTCACATGGTATAGAGCGGGTTCCCACATGGGACCGTTCCTTCCTAAGGGCCCACCATATTTTTTTTTTAGCTGCCCAACACCCTGCCCTAAATTTTTTTTTTCGCGGCCCCTACGTGGCCCCTTTGTCGCCTCGCGCGCCCCTACGCGGCCCCTACACGGCCCCTAGCGCGCCCCTACCCGGCCCCTACGCGGCCCTTACGCGGCCCCTAGCACGCCCCCTACCCGCGGCCCCTACGCGGCCCCTGACGCGGCCCCTACGCGGCCCCTGACGCGGCCCCTACGCGACCCCTGACGCGGCCCCTACGCGGCCCCTGACGCGGCTCCTACGCGCCCCCTACGCGGCCCCTGACGCGGCCCTTACGCGGCCCCTGACGCGGCCCCTACGCGGCCCCTACGCCACCCTTGCCGCGGCCCGACCCAGCCCCGTCCCTGACGCGGCCCCTACGCTGCCCCTGACGCGGCCCCTACGCGGCCCCTGACGCGGCCCCTACGCGGCCCCTGACGCGGCCCGTGACGCGGCCCCTACGCGGCCCTTGCGCGGCCCCTGACACGGCCCCTGACACGGCCCCTGACGCGGCCCCTACGCGGCCCCTACGCGGCCCCTGACACGGCCCCTACGCGGCCCCTGACGCGGCCCCTGAAGCGGCCCCTACGCCGCCCCTGACGCGGCCCCTACTCTGCCCCTGACGCGGCCCCTACGCCGCCCCTACGCGGCCCGGCCCGGCCCCGTCCCTGACGCGGCCCCTACGCGGCCCCTCCGCCGCCCCTACGCGGCCCCTACGCCGCCCCTAACGGGCCCCGTCCTGGTCCTGCCCCGGCCCCGACCCCGTCCCGGACCTGCCCCGGCCCCGACCCTGTCCCGGCCCCGTTGCTGCCCTGTCCCGGACCCTGCTCGGCCCCGACCCTGTCCCGGACCTGCCCCGGCCCTGACCCTGTCCCGGCCCCGTTTCTGCCCCGTCCAGGACCCTGCTCGGCCCCGACCCTGTCCCGGCCCTGTCACGGCCCCGACCCAGTCCCGGACCTATCGTTCCGCCCCTGGTAAGAGCCTAGCCGGGCCGAGCCGCGCGGCCGAGCTGCACTGCCTTGCTAATTGCCCTGCCGAGTCGCACTGTCCTGCCTCGCCCAGTTGCACTGCTGCTACTGCTAGTCTGCTGCTGCTCCTAGCATGGCTAGTCCTAGTCTTCTCACCTTTGATGCTGAGGGTCGAGCGGTTGACTTTGATGTCTGGCTAGATGATTTGCAGCTTTTCCTTCAGTGCGATAGCAAGGATGGTCTCTCCCTGTTTGATCTTACGTCGGGTGCCTCTACTGCCCTTGCTGCTGATGCTGACAGTACCGTTCGCTCGCAGTGGCTCACGCGCGATGCTGCTGCCCGCCTTGCTGTGCGTAGTCACCTACCGTCTACTGAGCGCGCGCACTTTAGTCAGTACAAGAGTGCTAAGACTCTGTACGACGCAGTAGTTGCACGCTACTCCTCCCCTGCCACTGCTGCGCTTAGTCGCCTCATGCTACCGTACCTGTTCCCTGACCTCGCTGCTTTTGCCACAGTCACTGACCTCATTACGCACCTCCGCACTAGTGACACTCGCTACCGCGCTGCGCTTCCTGCTGAGTTCTGCGCCCAGAACCCCCCCCCCATGTACATCACCCTCTACTACCTAGTCGCTCGACTCCCTGACACTCTCCGCTCGGTCAGGGACCACTTCCTCTCTCTTTGCCCTACCACCCTCACTGTCGACCTCCTCGAGGAGCGCCTCCTTGCAGCAGAGACTAGTATCACCGCTGTAGGCGCCTCTTGTGGTGACCCCCGTACCCCTTTCTTTGAGGGGTGCTCCCCCGTTCCTCTTTTGCCCTCTGTTGCCTCTGCTGCTGCTGTCGACCTTGTTGGCACCGAGTCGGTCAGCGCTGCATCTGCTCCTAGTGAGAGGCGCCGCTTCAGCAAGGGCAAGCGGGGCAAGGGAGCTGGAGGAGGTGGTGGGGGCGGCGGTAGTGGCGGTGGAGGCGGAGGAGGGGGTGGGGGTGGGGGTGGTGGTAGAGGTGGGGGCTTCGGTGGCGGCGGTGGAGGTGGAGGCGGCGGTGGCGGTGGCGGGAGGGGTGGAGGAGGCGGAGGCGGCAGCGGCGGAGGTGGAGCTGGTAGAGGCGGAGCTGTGCAGCGGGGACCCCAGCAGCAGCAGCGCTCTCGTGAGACCCCTTCGCCCCAGCAGCTTCGTGAGTGGTACGCGGGGCGCCAGGGGTCTGGGGGTGCTGGTCCCTGTACTTACGTCCTGCGCACCGGTGACCGCCCTGGAGAGCAGTGTGGCAGCCTGCACGCCACCCAGCGCTGCTTCGGTCGCCTGACGGACGCCTGGCGTGCCCAGTTCCCGGACGACACTGAGATCCCTCGTTGGGGAGATCTGCTCAGGTCGGGGGTAGCTATCTTTGATCTTGACTTTGATGCTATTCTTGCTGCCATGTATGCTGTGTCTATTAGTGCTGAGGGTGACTGTTACGTGTGTGTTCCGCCTGACCCTGGTACTGAGGCTGCTCCTCTAGGTGCTCGTGAGTCTGCTGCTCCAGGTACTCGTGAGTCTAGTGCTCTAGGTGTTGGTGAGTCTGCTCTCTCAGGTACCGAGTCGGCTCAGGTCTTTCACACCTTCACCCTCGACTCGGGTGCTTCCCGCTCCTTCTTTCGAGACCGCACCACCCTTACGCCGCTCAGTCGGCCGGTTGCGGTATCCCTGGCAGACCCCTCTGGGGGTCCTGTCCTTGCTCGCTACTCCACTGTCCTCCCGTGTCCGGCGGCCCCGTCAGGCTCCCTGTCTGGTCTCTACCTCCCCTCGTTCTCCACGAACTTGGTGAGTGGTGCTGACCTTCAGGATGCCGGAGTTGATCAGTTCACTCCTGCAGGTCAGCGAGTGACCCACTGCACGTGTGCTCAGACGGGCCGCCACTTGGCCTCGTTTACCCGTCGACCGGGGTCGAGCCTGTACACACTGACCACAGAGTCTCCTCCGGTTGCTGCGTCTGGTCAGGTAGCTGCGTCGAGTCAGGTGTTTGCTGCAGCGTCTCGGTCAGGTCCTGAGTCTGCCCCCTGCTCGTGTCGCCTCCTGTCCCACCAGACCCTCCTCTGGCACCACCGCCTTGGTCACCCCTCCTTGCCTCGTCTCCGAGGCATGGCCTCCCGTGTCCTTGTCTCTGGTCTCCCCCGGTCCCTCCCTCCCCTTCCCCCGGGGCCTGCCCTACCTGCGTTCCCTGCGTCGAGGGGCGGCAGCGCGCCGCTCCTCACTCCTCCGAGTTTCCCCCGACAGAGGCTCCGCTGCAGACTCTTCACATGGACGTGTGGGGCCCAGCCCGCGTCCGTGGACAGGGTCACGAGCGTTACTTCCTGCTGGTGGTTGACGACTACTCGCGTTACACCACTGTCTTCCCCTTGCGCAGCAAGGGTGAGGTCACTGAGGTGTTGATCGACTGGATCCGCGTTGCTCGTCTCCAGCTCAGAGAGCGTTTCGGCTCGGAATTTCCTGTTCTGCGTCTGCACTCCGACAGAGGCGGAGAGTTTTCCTCCGACCTTCTGCGAGCCTTCTGACGTGCGGAGGGCATCCGCCAGACGTTCACGCTTCCGGCCTCTCCACAGCAAAATGGGATTGCTGAGCGCCGCATTGGCATGGTCATGGATGTCGCTCGTACGTCCATGATCCATGCGGCTGCTCCCCATTTTCTGTGGCCGTTCGCGGTTCAGTACGCGGCGCATCAGATCAACCTTCAGCCCCGGGTCTCCCTGCCGGAGACCTCCCCTACTCTGCGGTGGACGGGGAAGGTTGGTGATGCGTCTGCGTTCCGTGTCTGGGGATCTCGAGCTTTTGTCCGAGACTTGTCTGCGGACAAGCTGTCCTCCCGTGCTGTTCCTTGCGTCTTCCTCGGCTTTCCCCCTGACGCGCCTGGTTGGCAGTTTTACCACCCCACCTCGCGTCGTGTTCTGTCCTCCCAGGACGTCACGTTTGACGAGTCGGTTCCATACTACCGTCTCTTCCCCTACCGCACTGCCCCCCTCCCCCCCCCGCCGCTCTTCCTTGCTCCCGGTCCCCCCCAGGTAGACCCCCTCCCCCCTCAGGGTCCTGCCCCCTCAGGTGTGTCCCAGGTAGATGCAG